TATATATATATATTATATATATATCTCACTCACTCTTTCTCACCCCCATACTGTCTCTCTCACTCACACCCACTCTCTCACTCACTCCCTCTCTCCCTCTCACTCTCTCACCCACTCTCACACTCATTCGCACTCTCACCCACTCCCTCACCCACTCTCTCCCTCTCACTCTCTCACTCGCACTCTCACCCACTCTCTCACCCACTCTCTCACTCACTCGCACTCTCACCCAGTCTTTCACCCACTCCCTCTGTCTCACCCACTCCCTCTCACTCACGCTGTCTCTCGCTCACGCGCTTACGTCAAGGAACAGGAACTAGATAATAGACCGACCCGCTCGCCTCGTTACCACACACAATACCTCCACATAGCACGGACAAACAGACACCGCATCACCAGCTAAAGGAAATGTAAAGCTGCGTGGCGTGGTGAAATCAGGCGCTCGTCAAAATAATCAAAGTGAAGAAATTCAACTGGCATTTTTCCGCAGGTTTGTAAATTTTTTATTGATTTTTTTTCTTCTTTTTTTTTTGGTTTCAAGACATTTCATGACCATTAAAGAAAGAACACATTCCTGTGTGGATAACCCTGAAAAATGTTGATTAAAGGCTCAAAAAGTGTGTAAATTTTCTGTTTTCATAGAGCTAAGGAAATTACTAAACTTTCGCAGCCATTTTCCGCTAACTGTACCTCTGAAACCAGGCAACGCCTACCTCCTTCAATCGCAATTATCTCGACTTGTATTCAAGATAACTGGATATTTTTTTCATTGAAAGCAAGACATGTGAACAACCTTTAAGATGATACCAATAACTTCTTCACTTGACCAAAAATTGACGAGCGCCTGATTTCACCGCACCGTGATACAAAAGATCGGATTTCGTCGGCTCACCTTAGTCGTGTTCTACTTTATCACAACTTATCCTTCCCACTTTTCTTTTTCATACCGTCCATCCATCCTTCATGAACTGATGGCGAATTCCAACACCACAGGTGGAGGAAAAGTTAGACATTGATGGTAGCAAACGAAGTGTCTTTTTCTTGTAAATTTGTTCTGTGGTTTTTTGTTTTTTTGTTTTTATATATATTGTTGGTGTTTCTTTCTTTTTTTTTTCGTCTCTTCTTTTGTTTCAACGGCGACCGCTCGAAACCTGACGAAGGCATTAAAATTTAATATTGTTATTTGAGTAAATGTTTTAAAATTTAAAAAAAAAGAAAATTAGGTTATAAGAGAAGATACCACTGCTAAAAAGACAATTATTTGTTGCCTGCAGTATTTCTGTACTGCTACATCGACAGGAGGGCGGGGTGGTGGAGTGGTTAGTGCGCTCGTCTCCGAAGCTGAAAGTCCGGGTTCGAGCCTCGGTTCGGACACGAATATTTTTTTCTCCCCCTCCTGCCCACCCAGCAGTAATGGGTACCTGACTTCGAGTTGGGGAAGTAAAGGCGGCGTGGAAAGGAACTGGCCACCCTACCACAATATGCCGGAGACCCAGGAAGTTGTCTCACTAACAAGGCAATCGCCAATGTCCGGATCGGATGCGGGAACAACTTTACTTTATATTGAAAACTTAATGGTGTTTCGAATAAACGGAATATTCAATCAAATAGATCGAAGAGACGATTAGATTTAGATTGATAGACATTGATGATACTCGCCTTTTTCTCCAGTGTTTTTGTGTGTCTGCTGGTGTGTTCTGCGAGTCTGTGAGACAACGGCGGCTGTTCGCCAGGAACAGAAATAAGATTTATCATAACAGTCTCACTGGGTAGACGTTGAAATGATCATCAGGACTCATGAATTAATTATCAGGACCTAGAAATATACAGTGAATAATATAGGACTTCGAAATATTTATTAGGACTTCGAAATAATTATCAAATTAAATAATTTTCAAAACTTAAAATTTTTAGTAGGACTTACAAATAATTATCAGGACTTAGAAATATTTAGTAGGACTTAGAAATAATTATCAAATAATTATCAGGACGCAGAAATATTTAGTAGGACTTAGAAATAATTATCAAATAATTATCAGGACTTAGAAATATTTAGTAGGACTTAGAAATAATTATCAAATAATTATCAGGACGCAGAAATATTTATTAGGACTTACAAATAATCATCAAATAATTATCAGGACTTAGAAATATTTAGTAGGACTTAAAAATAATTATCAAATAATTATCAGGACTTAGAAATAATTACCAGGACGTAGAAATATTTATTAGGACTTACAAATAATTGTTATTAGGCCGTGTGACAACCACGCCTCCCCACCACCCCCCCTTCCCCTCCCCCCTCCCTTTCCACCTCTGTTTGCTCTCTTTTCCAAACAAGACACCCGCTGATTAAAGTTTTCATACGCTCTTGTTAACCCCCCCCCCCAAAAAAAAAAGAAAGAACCGTATCCTGGACTCAGTTTGAAGGTCTCCCCTTGCCTGCTGCTCGTTCGTTCTGCTTGACACGACTTCATTCAATCAATCCGAAGAAATGTGCCCACACACAACACAAACACCTTATCGGAAATGGGCTCAAGACTGTTAGGAGAAACGAATCGGCCTAATTGTGTTTACCGCATTACCCTATTTCGGAGTGACAGTGGAGAAACTTCTAGAGTGTCGGTGATATGATTCTGCAGGAGGTGAGAGGTTTATCCTACCAAAAAGAAAAAACACGTCGAAAGACAGAACTTTTGTCGTCGTAAATTTGGCGTGATTCTTTTCCTGTGTGGTCGACATAGCTGAGTGAGGAGGTGGGGGCTGAAGACAGAAGGACGGTTACTCTTTGGACGGACGGGTGAGTGTTCTTTTGTTGCTGTTGTTGCTGTTGTTGTTGTTGTTGTTGTTGTTGTTGTTGTTATTGTTGTTGTTGCTGTTGCTGTTGTTGTTGCTATGTAATTGGGAATTAAAGCCGAGAAAGATCAGTATTTTTACTTCATAGATTGTTTTTAAAGTTTGATAAAGTTAAGCATGATGAACTATCAACATATTTGGAAGAGCTAGTCATAAATGGAAAAGATCTAACACTTGTTGGGATTTATACTGAGACCAAATGTTCCTGTAAGAATTGAAAAGATACGATAAGATAAGATAATACTTTATCATCACAGAGGGGAATTTTTCTTGTCTGTACAGGACCGTAAAATCACATGCAGGTATACATACAAGGTAAAATGATATTACTCTCATGAAAATGCAATATGAAAAGAAAAATAAAGCTGACAAAATGCACATATCACATCAAACTCATCATTCAACCACAAGAAGGGTCGTTTATAATGCTTTTTATCTTTCTTTTTACACTTGTGGTCTTATACATTTCATCAATTCTAGTAAAATCATATCCAGAGATCTTGCTGGCTTTCTTAATGGTAATGTCGACTTTTTCTTTATCTTTCGCCCAATAATTCCCAGCCCAGCAGCAATTACAAAATAGTAACACGTTTTCAATCATAGAATGATAAAAAAGAGATATAATCTTATTATCAATACGGAAACGTCTTAATTTCCTTCTTTAAGGAAACATTCTTTGATTTACTTTTTTTATGCACAAGAGCAGCGTGGGCATGCCAGTCAAGTTTGTTATCAACTGTTACACCAAGATACTTGTAAGAGCTTACCACCTCCACCTCCTCATCTTTGATAAATAGTGGTTGCAATTGGTCTTTTTT